CCTGTCCAAATATTATGTTTCATCCCTGTAGCTTTGCATTGCATTTCTGTGATGGATTTCAGTCTGAATCCTGTTTAAAAAAGGCTTTCAGGTGTTTTGCCTGTTTACCACTAGAGGGCACTCGCTAGTCTTTTATCAAAAGCCCTGTGTGCTACTTTGTTTCCTATGTGCTACTTTGTTTCCTATGTGCTTAGAGCGGGGATTTCCAACTCTTTTTATCTCATGCACATAAACTAATTACTAAAATTCTGCGGCACAACAAAAATATCTTCTATTTTTTTGCCAACCTGACAAAAAAATATGTATGATTCATTCACACCAGACGGCTATTGTGTTGGCTGTTGTCATTTTTTTATTTGATAATCTAAGGGAAAAGAAGTCAGTGCCCCTGACTAAATTGGCAAGTGTTGCATGTTTCAAAAATTCTTTTGGCACCCCGGTTGCAAATGCTGTGTTAGAGAGGAGGCCCGCAGGCTGCCACGTTCTGTCTGGATTTATTGTGGTGAAGTCATCTCACGTAGAAACAAACTTCAAATCAAGCTGCTGATGTACCCCATTCGATGGTGGCAACTATTAATTCAGGGCCACGTTCTGTGCCCAGTGCTTTGGATGTGTTACCTCTGAATCCCACGACACCCTCATTTTACAGACGAGGAAACCGAAGCTCAGGAAAGGCACCTAACGTCCCCAGGGTCACAGCGTTGCTCCACAGCGTGGACCCAGGTCAGAAGCAGTGAATGAAAGAGGAAAGCTTCCCATGATGCCCCAGCTGACTTCCTGAACCGAGAGAGGCCCTCGGGAGCTTATTCCACCTAGAAGAGCATTTGGCCAGTCAGCTGGTGCGGGAGGCCGGAAGGAGTTGGAGATAAGATAAAAGCAGCAAGTTCCAAATGTCCTTTACAGCTAAACAGAGTCTAACAGATCAGGGACCTAGGTATACTGGGCACTTTGTTTCAATTCCACTTAGTCTGGTTTGCACACCCTGTTCCCTCGAATGCAGTAAGTGTGATCATTTAAGGGGCCAGATACCACAAGACAGTTTGTTTCATAAAGGAACTGAGCTTCTGCCTTTGACGGTGGGTGGCCTTCACCCACTACTCTCTCTTCGGTGATGGTGATGGAGGTGCACATGCCTAGGAAAGCAGCCATTCTTACATGCACGTGCCTGTGAGTCTTGATAGAGTGTTTCTGGTATGAAACTGCTATAATAACTCCCATCTTTCCACAAACCTGGCTGCATTTGGTGGTGACATGCATCGAATTTATTGCACATGCTAATTAATGACGCCTTTGAAATGGATCAGGCACATGTTTGATGCCATTGGTGTTCATGAATGTCAGCTCCAGCACTGTCCCGAGTCTGAGCCGTTCACTAAGATCATGAAGAGCTTACAGTTATTCATCAAACGCCCTTGTTTCCACCCTCGGTGTTGTTTAATACGCTGCTTATATTATGTTCATATGAGGAGACAAAACATGAAATTTCAGTCCTGACTGTACCAATGACATGTAGGAAAGGCATCCAGGTTCACCCTGCCGAAGCACATCCTGCCCCGAGACAGAGCTGCCCAGACCTTCGCCTTCGAGGGCGTGAGGAGAACATGCCCTCTGTGGGGCGGGTGCCGCCTGCGGGATGACTGTCATGCTTTGTTCTGTAACTGCAGCCAACGGAGCCATTTCTTTAAGTCTGTGAAATAAAAGGTCACATGGCTAAAAGATCAGGGTGGGGGGACATGGAAGCTTGGAAACGGTATATATTCCACACATATTCCAGACACACATTTCAGTTGGGTTAAACATCAGGCACTTTCAATCTGGAAATGTCCGCGAGCAGGATCAGGGTTTAATCGCCCTCCCCGCTGGGATCGGGCACCAGCTGTCGTTCCCCGGTGGCCCTGTCCATTTAGACTTGGTTTTTAATTACCACTTTATTCTTTTGGTAAATAACCTAGTTAATTCCATTAACTAAAAGCCTCTGAAGGGGGGCCACAGAATCCAAATACCTTTTAAATCAGCCCATAGGGGGACAAGCTGCTGTTCAGAGCAGCTCTGTCACGGTATCGGCGCTCGAGGCCGACCCGGCGTCCGGAGACAGGCCCGCTGTGGTCTGTTTTGGTTGCTGACTTTCTGAGGCCTCCGGCCTGTCCCCTGGGCCCAAGAGTTGTTCTTCTTTATCCAGGGCAACAGCAGCTGAGTTAGATAGGAGTGAGGTCCAAATTGCAGCGGGTCAGACGACGCGAACTTCTCCCGAGGAGACAAGCATGCACACTAGCTCAGTGATCCTGGGGAAGCCGACACAGACTTTTAAAGCCTTGAACCCACTGTCACACGTGGAATATGAATAAGTGAGTATAATCTTTAATTATGTTCATTACCTTGAGATGATTGAAGATTCGCATGCAGTTGTACAAATTAGAGGTCTCCTGTACCTTTCCCCCCCAAAAATGTCACAAGGATGACACCCTGGGCAGATAAAACCTTATGGATACAGAAAACCAGTTAAAAGCATCTGGATCCTCGCTTGAGAGAGTAGAATATAAATAGACGCAGGGCACTGTGCATGCCTGGTGAGCAGTGGGGGGGGGGCTTGTTTAAATGTATCTTTCTACACGTGCTACATTTCTTTCAGACTGTCCCTTCTGGAAGGAAGACTACGCCTCTTTCCTGTTGTTTATATAAAATGTAACATTGTATAATGTTTGAAGAAAATAAGAACGGGAATAAATCAGTTTAAAATAATCACTTGTCTGGAAGTCATTTTCCCTTATCCCTCCACCAGGGCGATGCTATCGGCTGGAAAATTTCCAGGTCAGCCTATATTTAGTCTGGCTCCTTGGGAGAGCTGTAATTTTGTTGAGTCCTGGTTTAACACACATCCGTGAAGTGTCTGAATGAACAGAGTTCCATCTGAAATTCCATGCGGCAACCGTCCTGCTTCCAGAGTCCTGCTTCTGTGCGTTGCGCTGGCTCAGTGGCGTGGGACGTTTAGCATCCCCGGTTCCTGGGTGCTGAATGCTGGGGCCGCCCAGGGAGAGTGAAAACACCTGGTTAAGACCCTTTCCAACTTGTCCCATCATAATCATCACAGGGGTACCACCCAAATACAGATGTAAGGGCTCCCCACCCACACCAGAATCTCTGTTGGGCACCTGGAAATTTGTACATCTAACAAGAGCCCCAGCTGATTCTTACAACCAGACAAACAATGAGGGGGTTAGGCCTAGGAAACGGCAGAAAACCTTACCCCCAACTGCTGGGGGGATGAAAGGAAGAAAGTGTTAGGATGCGGGAGCCAACGTGAGTGGGCATCCTGGAGGAGTGGCGCCCTCTCTGGAGCCCCGGCCAGGTGGGGATGCCCCTGCCAGAGCCTATCTGGTCGGCAGTGGGGAAAGGACCACCCTAACCCCACCAGCCCTCTGCAGACTCTGGCCTGTGGTCCTCGGCTCCACTGGCTGAACCCAATTAGAAAGTGGAATAATGTGTCCATAGGGGTCAGCCGGCCGGGCTCAGGGCGAGGCGCAGAAGGGCAGAGAAGGTCTGGGCAGGCAGGAGGCAGAAAGGAAACAGACAATCACCAGGACCACTGGGTTAGCAAACTGCAGGCAAATAAAATCCTAATTTTGTTAAAGTGATACAGTGCTTATGTACAAGGGGAACTAAAGTAGGCATTTGGAGTAGCAACCTTGTGTTAGTAGAAGAAGTGGTTTATATTTTCTTAGTGTTTGGTATATTTTCCAAATTAAAAAAAAATGGCTGTGTATTACTTTAACTTGGAAACAAATAAATGCTAATTGGATGGTGCATTTATTTTAAAATCCTCACCCGAGGATATTTTTTCCATTGCTTTTCATAGAGAGTAGAAGGGAGAGAGAAAGAAACATCACTTCTTTAAATTAAATATTTAAATATTTAAGCAATATTTAAAGCTAAGGGTTAAGCAGAGAGCAGGTGCCTACGGTTTGCTATCAATTGGTTGCCTCCCACATAAGCCCTGATCTAGGCCAGGGATCGAGCCTGCAACCAAGGTATGTGTCCTTGGCTGGAATCAAACCCAGGACCTCAGTCTGAGGGCTGATGCTTTAACCACTGAGCCAAATTGGGTAGGTATCAGTGGCTCCTCATGGCAAGAATGTCATTTCCTGGACTTCCTCAGAAGTAGGATCTTGTCTAGACTAAGATCAAGGTCAGCGGAGAGGCGCTATTTGTTTGTTTTCACACTATTCTGCCAGTCGATGGGAAAGAACCATCTAAAGCGGGTATTTCAGTTCCAGTCACCCAGCAGACGGAATCTCATCGGTTACTATGGGTCTTCTATGTAGCAAAGCTGCTACTGTAACAAAACGGCTTCCTAGGGTTGGACGCTCAAACCTCAAACCTCAGCACAGAGGCAACAACCTCCTCGAAACAGTAGCGTCCAAGTCCTTTCTGTCTAATCAGACTGTAAACAAGCATCTCTCGTTACATTGTTTCAACACTACTTGTGGAGCTGTTTCGTTTCTTTTTCTGCTACTGTGTGTCTGCACCGGGGAGCGGGGTGGTGGTGTCAGCAGCCGCTTCTGTCCCCGGCCCCACGCGCCTCCCCCTTCTATTCTCAGCGCTGTCCTCAGGCTCACGGCGGTGCTGGTGCAATATTTAGTGTGTGCAGAATGAGACGGCAGATCTTAGGAATGGCGCCGGCCAGCTGTCCAGGACAGCGTTCCTAAAGCAAATCCTTAGCCCCCACCCAAGCCTGGCATTGCCTTGGGCTGGGGCAGCAGTCGGGAGAGAAGCACCCCAGACCCACTGGCTGCATAAACGCGCCTTGTGAACCCGGCCTGGGAGCCTCAGGCCACGGGGCTATCTAAAGCTAAGGGTTAAGCACAGAGCAGGTGCCTACGGTTTGCTATCTTCTGAAATCTAGAACCTTCAGTAGCATCTAAAGAGCCTAGAATAAAACCGTTTAACTTCGGTAACTGTGCTTTTCAAAGTGGTTTCCTAGACTTAATGTTAACTTACAAGAGTATAAGTTACATCTTATTAATAGTTCATAAATATCCACAGGACACGTGCTGCTTTAAAAAAACAACAACCAACAACTGCAGATAACTTTCAGTTTAAAAAAAGAACAAGGTACGTATTTGGAACTGTTAAAAATAAGATATGTTGAATGCCACATGAGCGTAAGGCAGAAACAGCTGTGGTCAATCAGAAATATTCCAGACCCAGGGTCCAGGTCCTGTGTTTTAGCCTCAGACTCTGTATTTACAAAGCTCCACTGTCATTAAAACACACTGAGAGGAAAAGCTGGCAGGTGAGGGGATCGCATGGGCGCCACACACAGTTTCCATGAACAGGAAACGTTCCTTACGTTGGCTGGTTCTTCGCGCCAGCTGCTGCGGAGGCAGCCTCCCGGCCTTGCTGGAGAAGTGAAACAATCCCGAGTTCTCTCCGGTCCCAAACTCGTCTCCCAAACCCTCAGTGTCTCAGGTGTGAGAAGAGCATCGCTTTGAGCTGGGAACAGAGTTAACAAGCATCCTCTCTGAGCAAGACAACAGACAAACTCAACTACCAGGAGCACGTCTACGTTTTCAATCTTCATAAAAACCACTTCACACGTGGGTCCCGCACACGCTCCTGGGGCACCTTCGCCGGCCGCGCTGGGATCTCCCCGGTTGCCCGTGACCAGAAGCCCGGGGGGCGGGGCGGGACCTCACTGAGTCCCCGCCGGACGCCTGGCCTCCACCACCAGGATGCCGTCGTGGCAGAGGGCGGCCGTCAGGTCCCGGGTCTCCAGGCCCTCGGGCAGCCTGTACTGGCGCGTGAAGCTCCTGGACACGAAGCCGTGCTCGTCCATCCGGGGGCCGTGCTGGGCCTTGATCAGCAGCCAGCCCTCGAAGGTCTGTATGAGGATGTCCTCGGGCAGGAACTGGACCACGTCCAGCAGGACCTGGAAGCACGCCCGGCCTTCCCCGGGCGGCCCGTCGGGCGCCCTGGCTCGCCCCAGGTCCACGGTGGTCGGCCCGGGCAGTGCGTACAGAGCGTGGTCCAGCCGGCAGTCCTCCAGCCCCCGGGCCTCAAACTGCTCCTGGTAGCGCACGGGCGTGTCTATGAGGTGCCTCAGGATGATCTGCGCCATCGTGGGGGCCGCGTCCCCTCGCCGTCCAGCCGGCAGCTGCCCTCTAGACGGACTGCCGGCGGAGCAGCTATTGGCTTACC